TGTAAATTAAATTTGTTTTTCCGCAGCCAGAAGGACCTACGATAAGCGCGCGTATCGTATTTGGTAGAAGCGCTCCATGTCTGTGTTTTTGATCCGATGTAGGCGGGTCCACGTTTTCAACTGATAGTTTTATTTTTTGTTTGATGAACTTCATTTTTTATATAAATAACTGTGCAACGATGATAAACCAAACAGTACACAATGTCACTCGATCGAAGCAGGAACAAGAATAAGGGCAGCGGACTTATCAACACGCTCATAAACAAATTACCAATCGAGCTTCACGTACCTGGTATTATATATATATATAAACCTTATAATATCATATACAATAATAATTTTATATTTTAGGTTATCAATACTGTGGACCTGGTACAAATTTAAAAAAACGATTAGCTCGTGGTGATGAAGGTATAAACCTTCTGGACTCTGCTTGTAAAGAACACGACATTGCATACGAAAATAGTAACTCTATCGCGGATCGTAACAAAGCCGATTATATATTAGAGCAGCGAGTCTGGGATAGGTTCAAGTCAAAAGATTCTAGTTTAAAAGAAAAAGCTGTGGCTTGGGGTGTAACAACCGCCATGAAAACTAAACGTAAAATAGGCGGAGGTTGTGGGTTTAAAGTGGCACTTAAAGCTAGTAAAAACGTTATAAAGAAAAATATCGGTGAAAAAAACTTGATGAAATTAACTAAAAAATGTGTAGCGGTCGCACGAAAAACATTTAAAATTAATAAGTCAAAAGTTCCACGAACAATAACGATCCCTAAGAAAGGCGGCTTGTTACCACTCATACCGATTTTCGTCGGTCTGTCAGCTCTGGGAGCCTTAACTGGTGGTGTTGCCAACGTTGTGAAAATGACAAATGAATTTAATAGAAATACACCATTGCATCTGGGTAAAGGTTTATATCTAACGCCGTATAAAGGCAACTCATACAAAATCGGTTCCGGTTTATATCTTGCACCATTTAAAAGTGGTGGGGGTGTCAAAGCTAAAAAAAACTAATATTTACGTTACCCAGTAGAGCGTTGTACGATTTCGAACTTATAAAAATCGCTCGTTTAATGAAAATACCTCATTTCATCGGCGTATTTACGAGAGATAGGTTATCTTCACGTCCTAAACGCCAAGAATCAGCGATTATTAACTTGGACACGGAAAACGGTACAGGAACGCATTGGGTAGCGTATAAAAAAATCTGAAATCAAGTTAAATATTACGACAGTTTTGGAAATTTACCACCCCCACTTGAAGTACAACAATATTTTCACGGATGTGACATACATTTCATATACATCAGAGAGCAAAATTATAATACCACAAACTGCGGACATTTGTGTTTAAAATTTTTATCATGTACACGATAACATTAAACGGGAACTCTAGTGAATTGGCATGTGATATTTTTCCACCTTTAGAGGTTGATAACACAGCTCAAATATGAGTTTACAGACAAATAATTCGATACCAAACATAGAACCTGGCTGCAATACTATTGCCTTCCGTAATTTTATCAATGAAAATGAGTACGTAATTATACCTACAGGAACATATGAGTTGAATCAGTTAGAGTCTATTATACAACAAATTATGCCGGCTATGTCAGTATGTTTGAATTAAAAGCAAACAGCAGAACATTAAAGTGTATGATATCGTGCAGCCATGATGTTGATTTAGGAGTCGAGAATAGCATAGCGAAATTGTTAGGTTTTAGAAATGTACTATACACTACTGGTGCTACTCATGAATCTGAAAATATTGTCAACATAATGAAAATAAACTGTATAAAAGTAGAGTGTAATTTAATCACCGGCTCATTCTGTGACGGAGCACCGAGCCATACTATACACGAGCTTTTATCCCACAGTACCTGCTGTGTATAAAATCGTTGAGGTACCTAGACACCCAGTTTTTTATGGTCTCAACACGAGATCTATAAGTAGAGTAATTGTCGTACTAAAAGATCAAACCGATTGTCTAATTAATCTTCGTGGTGAACCAATAACAGTCCGTCTACAAATCACGCGTGGATATGGCGCTCAAATTTAACATTAATATAAAAAGAGCTACAGTCAAAAAACCTGTCAGTTTACCGCCTGCCGTTAAGAAGTCAATATCTATGTCAAAATCGGAAAAAACTATTTCTAAACCGAAAAAAAACAAGTCCAAGCTCACTAAAAATAATTTAAATTTTCTCCGATCGCTGCAAGTATAATTATGGATGACACGTATTTAAACGTTACGACCTACTATGTCGATGAGTGTAAAATAACGCAGATGAATTATCATTCGTTCACTCCGTACTCAAACATGTCTTTATCAAATAATGATGAAATAAGAATAAGTATTTTAAATATGGATTCGTACACTTTACCGTGTGAAAGTTATATTTACATCGAGGGGAAAGTAAATAAACCCGCTGATGCTGTTGGAGATGTTCGTTTTTCAAATAACGGATTGGCATTTTTATTCTCCGAAATGCGATATGAAATAAACGGTGTAGAAATACAAAAATTAAAATCACCGGGAATTTCCTCTTGTTTGAAAGCATACTGCTCGTATTCTCCAAACGATTTGAATACTCTAGAGAGCGCTGCTTGGGACTCAGCCATGGATAGTGAAGATAATAAAAATTTTATGACCGACAATGTATTTACCGGGTGTATCCTTCTAAAACATTTATTCGGATTCTGTGAAGACTATAAAACAATATTACAGATCGAAAAAAAAGTATTGAAAACGATGCTGGACGATTCGATCACTGTCAACTTAAAAATCTTAAGGTTCACTTAAACTCTGAAGTGTACCCATATGAAGACTTTCGCGCTGACTTTCAAAAATCGTATTATGGGAGAGACTACAGCGAACCATTATTATCAAAACATATTTTTCAGAATTTTGTTCCAATCATAGTTGTTGATTTGTCATACCAGAACGACAACGTTAAATCATCAACCGTAGACCTACGAATTGAATTTGAAACGGATACAATTATTCCAGACAAGACTGCAGCTTATTGTTTAATACTACATGACCAGATTGTAACTTATAATCCGTTTAGTGGCGACGTTAGAAAATTGTAAATATTTTATACCTTGTAATTTTTTTTTGTACCTTATAATTATTTCCTTATTTTCTAATAAATAAAAAAACTTGTTTTAAATATCACGCTTGTTTTTTATTTCACATAAATTATTAAAATAAATATTAAAACAAATATTAAAATAAACTTCGTCTAACATCGCGTACTGATGCTGGGTATTGGGCGAATGTTGGTTGACATGGTGTTGACGTGCAAGTTGGATTGAAGTATGGTGTTGACGTACCAATCGGATTGAAGTAATCCGGGCCGTCATTTACGTCAAATGGTGGTGGACTTGCGGGTGATTGTGGTAGTCGACGCTTCACTCCACGTAATGGTGCTGCAGTGGGGTGATTGACGCGAGCTGAGGTTGGTGAATCAAATCGATTGAATAAATCAAACCCGTCTCTTATGTTGATCCGTGGAAATGAGGGTGATTGCGGACCGTCAATATGATCTAGCGGCTGGAAAATTAATTAAATATAACATAAATATTTTTTTTAGTTAAAAATTATTTTATTTATTACATTAGCTAGAATTTGGTACTCCGGCTTATCAAATGCGTCACGTATTGTACAGGTATCGTCCTGTAAGCTGGAGATCATGGATTTTGGTGGGCAGCTGGGTGACAGTATTTTCGGATCAACATAACATGACTAAAATAAAAAATATTTTTATTAAATATTTCTGTGAATATAATATGTTTTTTTTTTTTTTTTTTTTTTTTAATTACCTCTTGTGATTTTTGCGCCTTCCGATTTTCCCAATTTTCAGCCAACTGTGTAACAGCATATATCTGGATTTGTCTGGTAAGATTTGGAGCAGATTGCACTATCCTATCATCCCGATCGAGTTGTATATTCTTAATGTACAATTTCCTTTCTTCAATATTTTTCGGTGGCGATTTTTCTCTAGAACATATCTCTTCAAGGTACTCACCAAACTGATCAATTTGTTTTAAAAGTAATGGGACTGTAAATACATCTTTTCATACGATTGCTTCAAAAATAGCATATTCTAAACGTTGTAGTTGAAGAAGATCTGTTCGATTTAGAAGAACTCGGCATCCTTCTACATTTTTCGATTCGATCACTAACACATTTTCGCCACTATACACCATACTAGATAGTTTAAATGTATCAGTTTCGAAAAATGTAACTCTCTTGTACCTTTGCGGTTGCTCTAATATGAACGAAAGGATTTGACCCATAAAATTCAATATTTGCTTTAACGTGTCCGGAAAAATTCTAACATAACGCGATGGCGTTATTATAAGCAACACGACTTTGAAATTATTTGTGGGGTCAATCCCAATTTGAATAAATTTACGACTCACAAAGTCCAGCGTGAAATTGGTTGCTTCAAGAAGTTCGGCTGGTGGTGTTGGTGGTACATAGTTGAAGGTCTTCTTGTATAAAGCTAAGTTATCAGCGATTGAACCAGCCATGTTAAATACGCACTTGTTATAAAATATAACTGACAATTTATAAAATAACGTTAAAAATGTAAAAAGAACGATAAAACAACGAATGACAACGAGTGAACTATCGTATAAGGCCGGACGTATACTGAATGCTCGGCGGCTAGTGCGAAGCCTTTATACATAGCCAGGTGGGGTAGATTTGTTGTGCGCATGCGTTAATAAAATACACCGGTTACGTAGCGGGCAGGTGAATCGACGAGTGTATGCGCGTGCGTAAATAGTGCGGCGGCAGTCCATGTTGGCAGGGAAAAGGGTGGTGGGGAAAATACATGTCGCACACGTGAACGAGGTGCCGCCGGTGGTCTGCAGGGGTCCGCAGGGTCCGCAGGGTCTGCAGGGTCTGCAGGGTCCGCAGGGTCTGAAGGGTCTGCAGGGTCTGTGTGTTCGAATCGGCTATTATATCCTACTAATATTAAATACATTAAACCTAGTTATTATTTTTTGCCCTTTCGCTGGCTTTGCTCAGCCAAATGCTTGTTATGGTTTCTACTTCTTTGACTGATTTATCAGCCAAATTGCTAGTTGAATGTATAGCTTCTAAAATAAAACAAAGATAATAATACCATTACTCAAATTTGCATTATATTTTATTTGTATAAATGTATAATCATTTTCAACCTATCATAACAATAACTTATTATTATTTTAAAAAATTATACAGAATTATTCAAATACATTAAAATGACTAGTTATTAATCTACTAGTTTGAATAGACTTTTAGTAATAAGAACTAGAAATAACTTTTTTATTTATTAATTAAAAGTAATTTGAATTTATCAGCGGGTTAGTAAAATTAGTAATTGCATTCAAATATTAAATATAAAAACTTAAACAATATCTTAGAAATAATATAGTATAAAAAATTATGTACATATTAATAATAAGTACTTTTAAAAAATAAATTCTATCTCATATTTAATTTTAGATTTTTTAGGTAGGTATATTTATTATTCCTACTAAATAATTGAATTTAGTGTAAAATTATATTATGGAACGACTGCGCATCTTTGATATGTCAATTTCAGTTTAACAAAAAAAAACCTAACATTCATCAAATTAATATTACATTTGAATATGCATTTATTTTATTTAGACAGGTGGAGTATAATAATAATAATTATAAAATATTAAAATTTCAACAAAATAAACACACACACACACACACACACACATACATACAGATACACAGATTTACCAATTACCATGTACATTATAACTTATTATTGGTTGATAAAATAAGCTAAACTATTATTATTTCTCATCTTTGAAACTAGTACAATAATATAATGAGTAGTTATTTTTTTAAACCAATGTATTTTGAAGAAAACTATGTAGGTATTTTTAAAATAATTATAATCTAAGAGATATAGTATAGGTATAAGCTTTCAATTGAATAGGGTGAATAGTAAATAAATGTCTCCATTTTTCAATGTTTTGTGGCCCTGTTGAAATATTAAACTGTGTACATAATAAAAGTTAATTAAATAGTTACATACTTATAAGTAGTGATGACAAAATTGTTTTGTTAAATGCATGTTTGGAGCTTTTGTGACCAGTATAACTAAACTGTTTGGCATAATCATTTGATATTAGTTTTCTCAATATCCGCCCCACTGACTCTTTAATGTCACTTCCTCCAATTAAGGACAACATTTTTACCTATGTTTTAATGAACAAGATAGTATTAAAAATTATAGTTTATAATTAATACTTAACAAATACTTACAGTTTTGTTAAACATAGTCTGATCATTGGTAAGAGCCTGTTGTAATAAATTTAAGGACTCTTCATTAGTTACTGGAAGCGTTTCATATATCGGTTCAAACTCAAGCATGGACGAGGGAGTTGCAGGTTGATTATCCGATGATTTTTGTTTTTCTTGAATGTCATTCAAAATCATTAATATGGTGTGCAAATATTTGCTGTGCTCCTTACTCCTGGCATTCAATGTAACTAATTGCCTCATGATTTGCGTTTGTACTTCTATTTAATGTTAAATAGGTGAAACATTACCTAACTATAATTTATAGCACATACTATTTCACTATAATATAAATTGTATTACAATTTTAAGTTTCATATAAAGTATCGAAACTTGTTTCATTTAATCACTATTTTTATTTAGTTATATTATAGTTTAATTGATGGCATTATTAAAAAAAAAAAAAAAACTATACAAGTTTACCTGAATCGCAATCTTTCTTTTCAACCAATAATGAACTGGGATATTCATTATGTACAGACAATGAGTTTTCATCTTGAACATTCGAACAGCTTGCAATTCTTGCAATAATAAGTCTTCATTCTCTTCTGACTGACATACAGCTGAAAAAAATGATAACATAACAATTTAATTTACTCTAATTCATATTTATATCATAGTGTATGGCAGAGTAACACTCTGATCACGTCTTTACAACCAATGATTTTAATCTTAACTTTTGGAACACATTACAATTTAATAGTATGTACTTACAAATATTTAATAATATATTCAATCTGTTACCTACTCATATTTAATGAGTTCTAAATATAATATACATGAACAGTTGTTTTAAAATTTAGATACACAGTAACTCAGAAAGTACCTGCTAAAATTGTACAATATATAATATATATATATGATATATTAAATTTATATTTAGAATATCATATTTTAAATATTATCACACAATAAAATATTGGTTAGATTATATAAGATCACAACACTTACTTAAATTGTCTGGTTGTTCTATCAGTGAATTGGTATTGTTAACAAATGAGTCTTGATTATGGTAATTGTTGTTATATATATTGCTTTTTGTTCCCTCTTCAACTATGTCTCCATCTATTTCCTGAAAAACTTAAATTTCTAAATAGAAAATGTATCATAAATATTACAGGTTTAACCAGAGATAGAATAATGAGTATGATGTTATAAGGTTGACATAATGTATAATCAAATATCAATATTAACTTACTACTAGTGAAATTTGGAAAGTCAGGAATATTATGAGCTGTTGATTGTTCTTCATCACTGCTACTACTTAATCCATTATAGTTATCAGCTTTACAAGTTCTTTTTCGTTTGTTAATTGATTGATTTTGAGTTAGTTCAGTTTCTGAGGCTGATGAAGTTAAAGCAAGTGTTTTGTCAGCACATTTTGAAGCATCACTATAATTGGAATACATTTGTTTGGATATCACTTTAATTGGGTGTAACTTCCAATCATCGCTTGGTCTTGACCTATTTTTAATTGTCGCTTGCAATTTTAGAGTTCCCAGTTTTTCGGGCCATAAGCATTCTTTAAAATTGTGTATCCAGTTACTGGGAATAACTTCAATGAGGTTTTTTTCCTTGGTGAATTTCACCACATACCAACCAGTCATCTTCTATCTAGGAAATTCATTTTGTAAAATATAGGTTAAGTATAATAGTAGATCTTAAATGGTTTATAGTAGTTATATAAAATATAAATATTAGTATACCAATTCATCATAAGTAAAAAAAAAATAAAAAAGGTGGGCAAGTGGGTGTCGCTCTGCTGTACAGTAGGTTACAAGTGGGTCACTGATGGTATTAAATTTGAATCCAATGATATAATATCATTGTATAAGAAAAACGATTCTGAGCGGTGACGGTATGTCAGTCTATGTATAATACATATTATATACAAATCTATGGTATTAAACAAAAAATTGACCTATAATATAGGTACCTATAATAAATTCCAAACTAATCATATCACAATATCCATTAGATACTTATAACGCGTTATACATCAACAAAAACCGTGATACTATCATAGATATATAATAGTACACTTTAGAAGTTTCAAGTACCCACGAATAATATTATTCAATCACAACAAAATAACTAAAATCGTAATTCTTGGTTTAAATATGAAATTTTATCTAAATTTGAAATTAAAATGTCTGTAAAAAATAAGTGTGTTTATATATTTTTTAGATTTTTTGGTTACAGTATGAATTATTTAAGAGAATCTTTGTTTTAAATTTTCAACTCTTAGTTATAAAAACTGAACATTTTATAATTTTTTAATTCCAACGATTGATAATTTTCGAGATTTTGATAAATTTTGTCAAAATTCCAACTTTAAATGCTTATAAAAAAAAATCGTGCCTATGTATTTTTAATATTTTTCAACTGATATTGTAACAATATATCAGGAGCCTTGTATTAAATTTGTACACTTTTTGGCCCAACAGATAAAACTTTATTGATATTCATAGAAAAAAAACTAAAAAATTTAAAAATGAAAATATCCGTAAACAGCTCAAAAAGAGTCAAAATATTTTCAAAATTGTATGGTGTATAGGAAATGCTTATACAAACATTCAGTGAAATTTTCATGTATCTATAGTTATTCGTTTAAGAATAACAATAAAATAAGGAAATCGCTACATGAGAAATCGAGTGAACATCTAATGTTGTAAAAATTTGAATTTCAAACGCTCATAAAAATTTAATTTGACCGTCTGGTAGAGATTTTTTTATTGATAAAGGTAGACAAACTTATGAGTAATCTTGTATTACATTTTCAAATCTTAGATTTAAAAAGAAAAATTTTTACGAATTCTTAACTCAAAATAATTTGCTAATTTTCGTGATTTGTCAATTTTTGAACTTTAAATACTTATAAAAAAAAACTGTGACTAACGATTTTTAATATTTTTCATCTGCCTTTGAAACAATATAGTAGGAACCTTGTATTAAATTTTCAAGTATTTCTACTCAACAAATAAAATTTTATTGATATTTCTAGAAAAAAAAACTAAAAAAAAATGAAAAATTAAAATGTCCCTAAACTGTTCAAAATAAATCAAAATATTTTGAAAATGTTATCGTGTATAGAAAATGCAAATATAAACAACCAGTGAAAATTTCATGTATCTACGGTCATTTGTTTTAAAGTTACACCAAAAACCAAATTCGATTTTTTGGAAAATCGATTTTGCGTAAAAATTCCCGTTTTTCCTTAATTTTTATGTTGTTTTTCCCGGCGCTTGTGAAAACTACTGGAAAATGTTTACTTTTGACCCCCCAAAGTACCAACTAGATTCACTTTCCTATCAGAAAAGGTACTATTGAAGAAAATCGAAGCACTTTTACTGTCCTAAAACGTGATGACAGACACAAAAATATAAAAATATAAAAATATAAAAATATAAATAAAAATATATTAAATATATATTTTAAAATGTTATCGTGTATAGAAGATGCAAATATAAACAACCAGTGAAAATTTCATGTATCTACGGTCATTTGTTTTAAAGTTACACCAAAAACCAAATTAAATTTTGTCAAAAACCGATTTTGCGTAAAAATTCCCTTTTTTCCTTCATTTTTATGTTGTTTTTCCCGGCGCTTGTGAAAACTATTGGGAATTTTAAATTTTGACCTCCCCAATGCACCAACGATATTCACTCTCCAATCGAACAAGATACTGAAGTTGAAAATCGAAGCATTATTTCGACTACTTATCGTGTACACAGACACAAAAAAGGTGGGCAAGTGGGTGTCGCTCTGCTGTACAGTAGGTTACAAGTGGGTCACTGTATAATGGATGGTATTAAATTTGAATTCAATGATATAATATCATTGTATAAGAAAAACGATTCTGAGTGGAGACGGTAGTCAGTATAGGTTTAACACATATTATATACATTTCTATGGTATTAAAAAAAAAATTGACCTATAATACGAGTAGGTACCTATAATAAATTCCAAAATTAATCATATCACAATATCCATTAGATACTTATAACGCGTTATACATCAACAAAAACCGTGATACTATCATAGATATATAATAGTACACTTTAGAAGTTTCAAGTACCCACGAATAGTATTATTCAATCACAACAAAATAACTAAAATCGTAATTCTTGGTTTAAATATGAAATTTTGTCTAAATTTGAAATTAAAATGTCTGTAAAAAATAAGTGTGTTTATATATTTTTTAGATTTTTTGGTTACAGTATGAATTATTTAAGAGAATCTTTGTTTTAAATTTTCAACTCTTAGTTATAAAAACTGAACATTTTATAATTTTTTAATTCCAACGATTGATAATTTTCGAGATTTTGATAAATTTTGTCAAAATTCCAACTTTAAATGCTTATAAAAAAAAATCGGGCCTATGTATTTTTAAAATTTTTCAACTTATATTGTAACAATATATAAGAAAGCTTGTATTAAATTTTCAGACTTTTTGGCCCACCAAATAAAATTTTATTGACAATTATAAAAAAAAAAACTAAAAAAATTGAAAACTGAAAATGTCCGTAAACAGCTCAAAAAGAGTCAAAATCTTTTCAAAATTGTATGGTGTATAGGAAATGCTAATATAAACATTCAGTGAAATTTTCATGTATCTACAGTTATTCGTTTTTGAATTACAACAAAATAAGGAAATCGCTACATGAGAAATCGAGTGAAAATCCAATGTTGTAAAAATTTGAATTTCAAACGCTCATAAAAATTTAATTTGACTGTCCGGTAGAGATTTTTTTATTGATAAAGGTAGATAATCTTATAAGGAATCTTGTGTTTCATTTTCAAATCTTAGATTTAAAAAGAAAAATTTTTACGAATTCTTAACTCAAAATAATTTGCTAATTTTCGTGATTTTTCCATATTTTGTCAATTTTTGAACTTTAAATGCTTATAAAAAAAAATTGTGACTAAGGATTTTTAATATTTTTCATCTGCCTTTGAAACAACATATTAGGAGCCTTCTATTAAATTTTCAAGCTTTCGCAACCAACAAATAAAATTTTATTGATATTTCTAGAAAAAAAACTAAAAAAAAATGAAAAATGAAAATGTCCCTAAACAGTTCAAAATAAATCAAAATATTTTGAAAATGTTATCGTGTATAGAAAATGCAAATATAAACAACCAGTGAAAATTTCATGTATCTACGGTCATTTGTTTTAAAGTTACACCAAAAACCAAATTCGATTTTTTGGAAAATCGATTTTGCGTAAAAATTCCCGTTTTTCCTTAATTTTTATGTTGTTTTTCCCGGCGCTTGTGAAAACTACTGGAAAATGTTTACTTTTGACCCCCCAAAGTACCAACTAGATTCACTTTCCTATCAGAAAAGGTACTATTGAAGAAAATCGAAGCACTTTTACTGTCCTAAAACGTGATGACAGACACAAAAATATAAAAATATAAAAATATAAAAATATAAATAAAAATATAAAAACATACATCATTGTAAAACCAATACATTCATCGCTCCGCTCAGAATCTAAAAAAAAAAAACACACATCATTGTAAAATCAATACATTCATCGTTTCACTCAGAATCTAAAATGGTAAAACGCCTATTAAAATTTTTATAATTCTTTACAATATTTACAAGTGTATAAAATTAATTTTGCAATTGCATTTCAAATATTATTATAGCATTTCAGATGTGTGTAGCAATGGAATTACTAAAAATTCAGTTTTATATGGCAAACGAATTAATTTTTGATGCACTTTTAATAAAGGCCAATATGAATAACTTTCATTTAAACTACCAACAACATTGATTCCAATTATTGAAGAAGACAAAGGTTTTGTATAAAAGTCATACACATTATTGTATATATGACCAATAACAACCACTTCTTTCAATTTATGACAATATGCAAAATTTACAATTTCAATAACAGAGTTGGATTTTAATCTACAACAAGAATCTTGTAGATTTAAACCAAGTTTAAAATTAGTAAAAATTACTTCTTTATATTGAGGGTCTGAAATATCATTTACTAAAATTCCATTATTATATTCTTTTGCACACCTAAAACTTCCAATATTTATTTTATGTGAAATAGGTAATTTATGTAAATTATTTTCTTCTGATAATCTATGTACAATTTGTGACAGTACATTATTATGAGTTGTTAACAGTTTTTTAATTTTTTGAAGATAATTTTCAGACGTAAAATTACTAAACAAGTTTAAATTTCCGAATTTTCTGGCATCATCAGTGATGTGCAATAAATTATGGAAATTATGTGACAATATTTTAGGGCTGTAGATTAATTTTGAAGACAGAACAAAATGCTTTAATAGCTCTTCAGCATAGTCAGTCATAGTTTTCATCAACACATCAGATGATAAAATACGTATAGCAACGTGCAATGTTAAAAAATGTTCATATTTATTCTTATCTAAATTATTTTTTAAAACTATTATACCAGTGTATAATAAAAATTGACGAAATTCTGTTGCTTTAAACCTTTTAGCCTCTTTGATATGTCTTGGTTTTCTTACAAATTCATGTGGAATATATCTTACTAAACTTAATAATGTGTCTGATATTTTTTCAACTGTACTCGATTGTAACTTATGAGGAGGCAGCCCA